CCCCCCCGTGCCCCCGCCCCCACACGCCTGCCGCTTTGAAACGCCGTGGGGAGCTCCACTCGGTGTTTCAAAGTGGCAACACTGCATTGAGTTGGGGTCAGCGGGGGTGTCCCCAGCTGGCCTCCGGATCCATGTGGTGCTGGTACTTTGAAATGCGGTGGGGAGCAAGGGGCCAGTGGGGGGATTCAATCAGTCCCTCACTGGCCCATTGATCCCTGTATTGCTTTTGCCTCTGCTTTTGCTGTTGCTATACCTCCAAGGCGAGGCTCCTTTATAGATTAATTGAATAGTTGATGCAAATTGCATTGACTATTCGATTAGCTTATTAATTTCAATGTAACATCCCTAGTTGGACCATGACTGCAGTCTCTAAGGGGTAGAGTTCCTGCCTCACATCTACCTATCTTATTAGCTGGGGAGAGCTTTGGCACCTGCCTAAAAATGCTGTTCCTGAGAGACTCAGGTTGCTGTTGAGTAAGAAGTATATTATTTTCTCCTTCTCATAACTCAAGAACTAGTGATCACCCAATGAAATTAATAGGCAGCAGGTTTAAAACAAAGAAAAGGAAGTATTTCTTTGCACAACACACAGTTGACCTGTGGAACTCCTTGCCAGAGGATGTTACGAAGGACAAGACTATAACATAGTTCAAAAAAGCCAGATACATTCATTGAGGATAAGTCCATTGATGGTTATTAGCCAGGTTGGACAGATATGTTTGTCAGAAGCTGGGGCTGGGAAACCAGTGATGGAACACTTGATGATTCTCTGTTCTGTTAATTGCCTCTGGGGCACCTGGCATTGGCCACAGTTGGAAGACAGGATACTGGGCTAGATGACCTTTTAGTGTGATTCAGTATGGCGGTTCTTAAGACACTTCACTGTTGCAAGGGGGTGACTTCACTGCCTTGCAGTTCTCCCAGTGTTTGCTAACAGGAGCAAAAGGCTCTCTTCCATGGTGCTGTGTGGCACTCAAAGCCACCAGATTAATGAGCTGACTCCAGAAACCCCATTTTAAAATGTGTTCCTGTTGCCCAATCTGAAACCAGTAAGACCTAGTGGAGAAGATGGCTATGCAAGTGATGACAAAACATTGTCTAGTGGACTGAAGGGTATTCAATTAAATTCTTATTTTTTGTGAAGTGGAGCCTTCAAACTTGATTTGCATTTTACAAAGATTGTCATAGGAACATGCATTTAGGCAGGCGACCTATTTATTACTACTATTGGGACTTGAACTTTCCCTAACAACTTTATTTGAGTTGAGGCACTGCAGCGTTGAGCAAATCTCTAATGCTGCTGGCATTGATCTAAACAAAGCCTGTATAGGTTTGAGTCCATGTCCAGAAAAGGAGCTTTCAACTGCTTAGATCTTCCTTTTGGAGCTTATCAAGTTGATAGATTTTGAGACCACAATAGGAGACCATTACGATCACATAGTCTGTCATCCTGCAAAATGCAGGCCAGAGAATTTTATCCGAGGATTGAGTACTGATCCACATGGGAAGTTTTAAAGTTCAGTTGTATTTGAAGAAAAGAGAAGGGCAAACATTTTCACTATTTTCCCAGTATCAAAGGGGAAAGTCTGAATCTGCAAAAGCAGTGAGGAGTCCTGTGGCACCTTATAGACTAACTGAAGTGTAGGAGCATAAGCTTTCGTAGGCAAAGACCCACTTCGTCAGATGCATTTCTATTTTCCCAGTGTTGCTTTTATGTGTCTAAATGGGGAAAAACTGGCAGCAGCTGTGGCCGTTGTTAACTGCGCTGCTCAAATGACGGTCAGTCTTTCCTTGAGAACAAATACACAGACTATGAGTTGAGACCAAATGCAGAAATTGCTGCCTGCAAGCTCAATGAGTTGAATGGCCGGAATGGAAGTGTTGTGTGATTAACTAGAAGCACTGCTATGGTTACAAAGGTTCTGAAGTCAGACACTTGTAAATGGTGCAGCAGCATTGTGGGCTTCCTCTTTTTAATGCTGTGACTCTGGCAAGGGTGTGTGCGAGTGGAGGCCTTTGGAACACTAGGCCTGAACTCTTATCCTTCCGTGCCCGATTTGAGGCCTACATTTCACAGCTACTGAACATCAGACAGAGCTAATGAAGTCTGGATTTCCAAGATTAGTGGACACTTCTGAAAACTTGAGCTTCAGTATTTCCAAGAGTCTCTCTTAACTACCTGATTGGAATCTTCTGAAAGGTTTTCCCCCACCCTAGGACCGCTTCCATGGAAGCCTGACATGGGCCCAGGGTCTTTGAATTGCAGCTTTAGTTTGTTGGCAAAATTCTGAATGAAATCCCATGGGTCGAGAATGTTTCCATGGAAGGTTTTTTAAAAACCAAATATTAATGCAGTCTTTAAATTGCAGCTTTAGTTTGTTGGCAAAACTCTGAATGAACTCCCATGGGTCGAGAATGTTTCCATGGCAGGTTTTTTAAAAACCAAATATTAATGCCTGGTGCTTCCGCCACCTGGGAACAGATCTCTCAGTCTTGGAAACTAGAAGCAGTGTAGTCAATGTGTGTTGGTTATTAGATCTCTGTCCAGTTTGATGCACTGGTTTCACCCCATCCAAGTAACTATTTTTATTTTTTAAACCAGTGATATGACACGCAGCCAGAGGAGCACCACACACTCTCTTCAGTCTCGAGGGGGCTTCCTATCCTCTCTGCTCTCTCAGAGTAAGAAGGGTCCTTCTAGACCAACCATGACAACTGGAGTCTCCCCAACACAGACTGGCGGAATACTGCTAGGGAAAAAGGAACCATCAAACCATCAGGTAGTTCCCCAGTGGGTTTTTTGTAAGGCAGTGCTTGAACAGCCAGGGAGTTAACCTGTGCCACCTCCTCTATTTTGGCTTATCCTTGAACCTAGAAAAGCCCTCCTTGGAACTACCATCTTGTTCTCATCCGGATCCTGGGACTGAATGGCAGTCAGTCAGTCCAGAGCTGCATTGCTCTGAGTGTGGCTGGGATTGTGCCTCCCATTTTGGTCTTTGTTCAAAGGTTTGACACCGGTATGAACAGGACTCAGGATTTACAGATTTTTTTCTCATTTCCTTCCAGAGCACCAAAGGAAAGGAGGTAGCAACAGGCTGCAAAGATGGAAAGAGTCACTTTACTGGGCTGACAGCAAATGAGCCTGTCTTAGTACAGCACCGTCAGAGGCGTCTGCAAGATCATGGGAAAGAAAGAAAGGAGCTTCTATCAAAAGTAACTTCCCAGGTATTCGGAAGAATCACAGATAGTCTTGGAATTGTTCAGTTGCACTGGGCAGTAGAATTTAGTAAGGCAGATACAGGTTTCTGTAAAATCCCTAACCTGATATTTTAATGCCCCATCATTGTATGAAAGGTCAGTTATTGTGCTAATCTCATTCTTAGAGTATTTCTGCAGAAGCGAGGAGGGATCTGGGTGTTAAGCAGGAGTTAGAAGTCTGTCACTTCTCTCTTCCCCCTTCCTCTGTCTCTGCCATCATCAGTGGCCCTCAACCCTTCAGCTACAACTACATGATGTTTCATTTTGATCTCACTTTATCAACAGTGATACCTAGTGACAAGACCTTAGTATGAGCTGTCAGCCAGAAGTAAAATCCCTATCTTTAAAAAGTGGTGTTGTCCCAGAGATGCCAACAGCTCTGATTCAAGTGCCATTTCTTTCTTCACTGTAACAGCCTGGGCCATGGAGAACAGTTTGACAGGTTTTCCTGGGAAGAAAGGCAGAGGCTTGACGCCCTCACATGTAAGAGTTAGTTGTCCAGAAGAGTGGATTTGCAGTGAGTGGGCAGGTTGCCTACACTCTGTTTTCAGTGGCTCTCCTGGCTTCCTGCCAACACCTCCTGCTTCCCTAGCATTCCCTGAGACTTTCTGGAACCCACCGTCTATGGTTTTAACCCTTACAGGCAATTTAGTTAGCTAAATGGCTGGGATGTAATATCCCTCCCATTCATCACAGCAGCTGCTTCTTGTATTTGTTTATCTCAGAGACCCTGGCTTGAGGGTCCCTTATAAAGATGTGGTAGGAACAGCCGTGCTTATCAGTCCTCCCAGGCATCGTTTTGGTGTGTGAAGTGGCATGGCCAGATTATCCAGCCCCCAGTGTGAAGCTGGCAGAACTGACCTCCCCTGGCTTCTCAACAAGTTTTCTTTGGCCTTCCTATTTTCCCCGACTTTGTTTAGCTCTCGGGAAGCTTGTTGCTTTAGGTGTAACGTGTTCTGGATATGCCTGGGCAGAGAGAAAAGGTGATGCCGTCCTTTTCACAGGCATTCAGCTGTGTTTCCTTCCAGGATAACAACTAATATGAGTAAGGCAAAGTTCTCAGGCTTCGGTTTCACAAGCTCTTTGCAACCCTGTGACTGCAGATGGGATTTGATTCTCTCCCATTGCACAAAGCAGGCCAATAGTATCTCTTGCTTTTGTATCTCTTGACCTCTCCAGATAATGCAGTGCCACGGTGCTCTCTCCAGGTATCTCCAGCTCTGCTGCTTTCCATTTCTTGTGCTTAAAGCTCTTGTCCTGAGAGGAAGGATGGTCTTGTGGGATGATACCTTTGTTCAGTTCCTGACTCTGCCACAGACCTTCTGTGTGAATATAGGTGGATCAGTTAATCACCATGCTGCCATTCCCTGTCTGTAAAATGGGTGTAATGCTCCTTCTCCTACCCTCTGTCTGTCAGTTTACTGTATAGGCTGCTATTGTGCTTATGCATTCCCACAATGGGGCTGCAATCTTGATTCAAACCTGCATACAATAATAGACCAGTGATCTGGATAATTAATAAACATGGAGCAGGACAGAATTGGACACGAAGAGGAACATGAGGGGACATATCTGCAGTGGTATTTTAAACTTCACTTAATCTGCAACTTTGACAGGCTTTCGCTAGAAAAAAATCTCAGTTTAAATCTACGACTCCAGCACCTTTTAGAACAGCTGCCTGACGCGCGCCGGGCTCGTTTCCCAGGGCAGTCGTGGAAAGGGGTGCATGTGACTGTGATAATGTTGTGCTCTCCAAAAGAGCCACCTCGTTTTTGCCAAAGGGTTTTAGCCACTCTGCCTCTCGTCGTGCAGCTCCTTGGGTCTCTCCTTTGTCAGGTTGGCTGAGAGTCACTTAACCTAATGCTGCTGCCTGGTGGTACTTCTGAGGCTTCTTTCCTCTCTGTAGGGCCAGAGTGTTGAGAAAAAGATGGAGAAGGGTGCTACTGAAGCAGAACCTTCCCCCGAGCTGCAGACTGAGCAGTCAGAAAGCCTCACCAAAACTTCTGCATTCAGCACCGAGGCTGGAGGACAGGAGCAGCCGTTCATTGTCCTGAGCCAAGAGGAGTATGGAGAGCACCATTCCTCCATCATGCACTGCAGGTAGGGGGGCGCTTTTTGTGTGGTGGAGATATGATGAGTCATTTCCTCCTGGGGAGGGGTGCAGAAGCTACTCCAAAGGTAGCATTCCATGGTGACTGGTGAAGTGTCAGTGCCTTTGCTACGGGGGAAGGGGGATACCGGTGATGCCCAGGAGAATTAAATCTATGGGAAAGCAGGCTAGTATCACAAACGGGCATCATGCTGCCAAACGCTGTACAGATCCTTGTACTGCGCCTGATATCCCAGCATCTGAGCCCCTGCAGTAAAATGGTGCATGTTACACCAGCGAAGGAAGACTGCTGAGCTGAGTTTGGAGGGAGGCGTTTCTAACCGTGAGCGTAAGGAGAATGCTCGTTGATGTTTTCTTCTGTGCATAGGGTGGATTGCTCTGGGCGGAGGGTGGCCAGCTTGGACGTAGACGGGGTCATCAAGGTGTGGTCTTTTAATCCCATGATGCAGACCAAAGCGTCGTCCATTTCCAAATCTCCACTGCTTTCTTTAGAATGGGCAACCAAACGGGACAGGCTGGTGAGTAGCATATTTACTTGTGTACTATTGAGTTGCTACTGATCCCTAACACATAGGGGGTACGCATCCCTGCCCATGGTTTTGCTATATATCATATGGTCACTGTGCTAACTGAATTTGAAACTAAAGCCAGCTAATGTCACATGTCAATGTAGATGTGTCGGAACAGGGAATGTAGACCGTGCTTATAGGACTGGTGACTCTATGCTGGGGAGCAGTGGCGCTGGAAAAGATTTGGGAGCTGTGGAATAATCAGCTGAATGAGAATTCCTAGTGTGACACTGTGACCAAAAAGGCTAATGCGATCCTGGGATGCATAAACAGGGGACTCTCAAGTAGGAGTGAAGAGATTATGTCACCCCTGTATGTGGCAGTGGTGTGACCACAGCTGGAATACTGTGTCCAGTTCTGATGCCGACAATTCAAGAAGGTTATTGATAAATTGGAGATGGTTCAGAGAAGGGCCATAAGAACGATTAGAGGCTGTGAAAGTGATTGTGCAATTTGAGTTTATTTAGCTTAACAAAGAGAAGGTTAAAGGGTAACTTGTAGGTACAGTAAAACTCCAACTGTCCGGCATCCAGTGGTCCGGCAGTCCCGATAGTCCGGCACCAACTGGAACCCGGAAGTGCTCCGGCCAGCTGGACAATTGGAGCTGCTGGCAGGGAATGGCTTGGCGAGGGGCGAACCCTCCACCGTTTTGCAGGAAGGCGGGGGAAGCCCTGCACCGCTGCTGAGAGTTTCTGGGAGGGGAGTGGGCTCCCCACCCCCCACATTGCAGTAATTATCACCGAGCAGGGGGGTGAGGGGTGGCACTGCAGAACCAACCCGGCAGCACCCCAGCTGCTCTGCTCCACCGCTTGTCCGCCGCTCGTCAGTTTCAGACACTTCCCCAAGTCCGCTGCTGCTGCTGAAACTGATGAGCAGCGGACAAGTGGCGGAGTAGAGCAGGTGGGGTGCTGCCGGGTTGGTCCCGCAGCGCCGCCCCTCACCCCCCTGCTCGGCGATAACTACTGCAGTCTGCGGGGTGGGGAGCCCGCTCCCCTCCCGGAAACTCTCAGTGGCGGTGCGGGGCTTCCTCCGCCTTCCTGCAAAACGGCGGAGGGTTTGCCCCTCGCCGTGCTCTTCCACGCCCACCCTCCTGGATGCAGTGCGGGTCCCGGCAGACCCATCACAGCCCCCCGCCAGAGAACCTCCCGATGCTCTGGCATATCTGATAATCCGGCACCACCTAGGTCCCAAAGGCCTGATTATCAGAAGTCTACTGTAATTATGGACTCTAGTCAGGGGAAAAATATTTAAAAATAGGCTCTTCAATATAGCAGTGGGAAGTATAATATGATCCAATGGCTGGAAACTGAAGCTAAACAAATTCAGATTGGCAATATGGTGTACAGTTTTAATGATGAGAGTAACTAACCATTGGAGCAATTTTCCATGGTGGAGTCTCCATCATTGGCAACTTTTAAATCAAGATTGGATGTTCTCCTGAAAGCTCTGCTCTACGAATTGCCTTGGGGACAGTTCTCTGGCTGAGTTATATTGGAGGTAAGAAGAGAAAATCACAAACATCCCTTCTGGTCTTGAAATCTATGGCAGTGGAAGGGAGTTGTCCATTTAGGGGCTGATGGTGAGAAACCTCTAAGAGCTGAGCCAGAGAGCAGAGTGGGAGTGTACATCCTGAGCAACTGAGCAGAAGTTCAACACTGCCTGCATCAGTAGGGGGACCAAAGGACTGGAAATTTGGGTGCTGGCTTCTGTTTCCTGAATTGCTGTATAGCTTTGGCTAATTCAGATATCCCCTTTCCCCATTGGCTGGGCCTAATAGCTTTTTCACAGGCTTGTGCAATAGTGTTCTCCTTATTCTGCTGGGTAATAGGATGAGAGAGATACTGGACTAGATGGACCTTTGGACTGACCCAGTATGGCCGTTCTTATGGTCTTACGAGAATTAATTTAAGCAATGAGTTGGCATCCAGTGGGATTCAGTATGAAAAGACAAAGTCCAAAGCTAAATGATTGTTCTATTTTCTTACTAGAACCTTAAATGCTGCTGATGTGTATATATACTTGGTCCATTTTAACCGATACATCTCCTTTCCCAGGACAAAAAGAGGTATCCTTATCTCCCTAGCTCTTATCCAGCAAGCTTGACTACTCATGCTGCTTGTCTCCATGCCAGCTTTTGCCCAACACCAGATCTCTACTCTTAATCTGATACCATTTCTTCACTTACTAGAACCTTAAATGCTGCTGATGTGTATATATACTTGGTCCATTTTAACCGATACATCTCCTTTCCCAGGACAAAAAGAGGTATCCTTATCTCCCTAGCTCTTATCCAGCAAGCTTGACTACTCATGCTGCTTGTCTCCATGCCAGCTTTTGCCCAACACCAGATCTCTACTCTTAATCTGATACCATTTCTTCATCTTCCC